GGAGGTACTCAGGCTTGCCTGAGGTGCCGGAGCAGGCCTGTGGTGGAGCTGGGGCAGAACCTGTGTCCTCACATCCAGCTGCAAGATGCTGCCCTGCCCTGTGCTATCTTCCCTGGCCTCAGTGAATCTCAGCCTGATGCCAGGAGTCTCTTCAAACAGGAAAAGGCCATCCCAGGTGTATGGGAGCAGACCCTCAAGTAACACAGATGGAGGGTGCCAATTCCTACCAGCTCAAGGATGCTCAGCTTCATGATCACTCATCCACTGAATTCCAGGACAGCTAATGCCCTGGATTCATATGGTCCTACAGCTGTGTGCCTGGCAAGCCATCCAGTGCCTCCAGTGCGCAAGGGATACTTCTCAGGCCTAGGCATGCCCCTGTGTCCCTTCCCACAGGCCTGGGAGACCTTGCCTTGTGCTCCTTCCCCATGGCATGCCTCTTCCTGGTGAGGTCATGTTCTAATCTCAGTATTAGCAGATGTCAGTCTTCTGGAAAACTGTCCTTGACCCTCCAGAGCAGAAAGCATCCTCTCTCACAGGGCTGCACAGAAGTGCTTTCCTTCTGAAAGTCAAAGCACTCATCCTGGGTTATTATTGAAGTGAATCTTCATTCCCTCCATTTGGATCTGAGTCCCCAAGGATCCAGCTTGGCTCTCATTCTTCCAGGCATTCAGCTCCATGGCTTTTTATAGTGGCAGCTCTCAAAAATATTTGTGGGAACAAAATGACTTCTACAGTAGTTATCACAATGATTCTCCTTTTCCTTCCGGAGAGTGTAGGCAGGGGCATCTCTGAAAGTTTTTACCCTTCTCTGTCCCTAGTTCAGTGTGACTCAGATATCAAAGGAGTCTTCCAGAAAAACACTTTCCTTCAGAATTATTAAGGTCAGAATAGCTTTTTGGAAGCCAGTGAATGGCACTATGAATCTAAGAGAATCAGGACAGACGACATGAGAAACAAAAGGATCAGTGAGGTCTGGCTAACTTTTTTGGGGACAGAGCCATACCCGGGTTTGGCAACCCTCACTCTGCATGTTCTGGAAATGCAGTGAATATTCTGATCTCAATTTGGTGTCATTATTTTTATCTCTCTTGGTCACTGAAATGTTCTGGCAGGACAATTAAGAGCCTAAGCTTCCCTAAGCTTAAACTCCCTTCTCAAACAAGTTTAAATTTTATAGCCCTCAACCCAGAAGGACATCATCCAGGAGACTGTCATTTAACACCCTGATCTGGGGGTGCTGCCCCCTCCCCACCACCAGCAGATCAGCCTGCAGCTTGTCCAGCCTTGCTCAGCTCCTCAGCATGACAACTGTCCCTTTATTGTCCTGGGTCTGACTGCACTGCAGAAAGCTGCTCACTCAGCATGCAGGCCCTGGCAGAGCTTCTACTCACTGGGCTGGCCTGTAGATGGCTTGCAAAAGATACTTGAACCAGATCACAAACTTATGATTGGAAAAAATCAAAAAGGCTTTCCACTGTGTTGACAAAGTTGTGTGCAGACAGTCACTTAATGTGTGCTGCTGGTGGGAGTATATGCGGACCAACCTCAGTGTGAGACACTGAAGTATTTATCAAAGTTAAAAATGTACAACAGTAAAGGTTACTGACGTGCACTAAGTGCTGCACTCTCACACAGCCCTCTGAGGTGGGTGGTGGCATCACCCACATATTCTCAGATGAGAAAGTTGAAGCAAAGAGATGCTACATATCCACCCAAGACTGCCCAGCCCATAAGATCTGCTGCCTACATGGTGTCCCTCCACAGTGCTACCCACTGATGTGTGAGCTATAATAGCAAAAACAACTAAATGTCTGCCTAAGAGAAGAATTAAATAAACCAATGTATTACAATCTCTCAGCTATAAAATTCTAAGTAAAAAAAGCATAGCACAGGAGAATATTCTATTATTTGTGGAAAAACATATCCATAATTATGCTTGCATATGCACAGTATAGCACTGAAAGGACATATAAGAAGAAATAAAATGAAACAAAACAAGTAGTTTTCCTGAGATAAGAAACACAGAGGAGTGGGGATGCTTTTCACTGTATATCTTTTATACCTTTTGAATTCTGTACCAAGCACTGGGATTACTTATTGGAAAATAAAATGGGTTTTGAAAGAACCAATAGTACTTGCAAAGTGCATAATAATTGTCTAATAGAAAACACAGCACCAGATGCTTAATTCCATTACTAAATGGCCATATCATTTTAAAGCTACTTCTTTCTGCATATTTCTTTGCTCTAGTGCCAGTTCAGAGGCCGACACATTCTAGGTACTCTGCAAATGACTGTGGAATGAATGAGTGATTTGCATAACGAGTTGAGTCTACAGTAACTGATATTTGTCAAGGTACCTCCTGCAACTCTGCAGAGTCTGCACTTCTCTGTAGAAACTGAGGTCAGTGCAGAACAATGTTTTAATTTAAGAAGTGCCAGATCAGGGCTGAGTTTCATGTTGAACCAACCCACAGTTCTTCACTTGAATTTTGGATGTCTACGGTCTTTGCTGCTTTAGCTGTAGCTGTGGTTCTCAACCAGTGGTAATTTGACCCCCAGGAGAGATCCATCGGTGTCTGAAGACATTTCAGTTGAGACTTTTTTTGGAGAGCGTACAATTATCATTTCGTGAGCAGAGCCAGGGATGCTACTAACCATCTATAATACACAGCACAGTCAGTCCCTCCCCACACCCAAAGAACCATACACCCCAAAAAGTCAAGTGCTGAAGTTGAGAAGCCTTGAGCTACATTGGTTGATGGACCCATTGCCATGACTGTCAGAACCTTCTTCAGCAGCATTGGAACGCACTTAGAGTGTCCATGTGTTTGTGTGGTCTTCAACAATTAAAACCTGCCATAGAATCTTCCTGAACTGCTGTTTCACCTCATCAGTGAGGATCCCAGCCAATTCTGATCCATCCTCCTGTAGCAAGTCACCTTGAGGAGCTGAGAAACAACTGAATATTAGAGGAACAAGTTTTTCTGGGTCAAGTTTTCTGGAAATTTCTTGGCGAACTGGTAAAAAGTTCTTTTGTCCCTGGACCCAGGAATTCTCTTCTCCTCTAGAATTCTAGCTTGTTCTTTTGTTTGTTTTTTTTTTAGTGGTAGAGGTTTGAACTCAGGACTTCATGCTTGCTAGGCAGGCACTCTACCTCTTGAGCCACTCCTCCAGCCCATGAAGCTGATTCTTAAGAAACTGAGGGAGAAAATATCTGCATGTGTCTCAATAGAAACCTTCAGAAAGAATGTGGACAGCCTCATTATCAAGAAGGGGCTGGCCTGTGGAAGGAGGTACCCTGGCTCAGTTAGGCAACTCTTCTAGGCCTGTGCAGGGGATGGGGGCTGCTCAAAAATTCTCCCACAGTCTGGTGCCAGAAGTAACCAGGGAATCCTGGCCACTCTCCTTCACCAAGACACATTTGGGGTATTTGTCTAGAAGGCATCATAGGTTTAGGGTACTGTTACAGTGAGATGGGGTGGGGAGCAGGCAGCTCAGAGCCAGTGGTTCCATCTCGGCTCAGCTGCTTTCCTGCCTATGACATGGGAAAGTCACCTGACTACTCTGACCTACACTTTTTTCTTCTGCAAAATGGGTGTACTATAGGTTTGTTACAAAACTCCAGTGAAGTCAAGGATGGGAACAAGTGCTCCATAACTGACAAGTTCCCACACAAACATTAATTATTATTCAAACCCACATTCACTCAATTTTTGGCTCATTTGTACTGTGGTTAAAAAAATATATATGGTTAAGTAAGGGTCATCCCAGTAGGCAGCTCATGAAAGCTGTCGTCATGACTAGCACCTGAGCCCTAGAAAACTGGGACTGAAGGAGAGGAATTGAAGGACATCAAGGTGCACAGAAATGGGCCAAAAGAAGATTGATATGGCTGCCATGCTGAGATTCACGCTCACTCACATAGTTTTCTCTTGCCTGGAGTCTGAAGTGGACTGAAAATTTGGGACAGCAATAAATTAAGTAAAATTTAAGGCTTCTGCTGCTAAAACAGAAACACAAAGGGTTATTCAAGCCAAGGTAGGAAGACACCGACTTCACGGGTATTATTTTTATTTCTGACATCGTTAATCAAATGTTAGCTGAATGCCTATGTTTGCAATTATGTTTGTGTCAAGTTGTGTCCCCAGGAAGATATGGAGCACTACACCCTGGTACCTGTGAATGTGACCTTACTTGGAAATAAGGTCTATGAAGCCATAAGTAGTTGAGGTCATATTGGATTAGGGTTCATCCTAAATCTAGTGACTGATGGTCTTATGAGAAGGCCAGGTGAAGACACAGACACGTGGGGAAAGAGCGATGACAGGCAGAGACTGGAATAAAGCGTCTGGAAGCCAAGGAGCACCAAGGACTGCCAGTAGCCACCAGAAGCCGGAGGAGAGGCATGGAGCAGGTTCTCCTCAGCTCCTCTGGCGGGAACAAACCCCGCCAACTCCTGGATTTCAGATGTCTGGACTCCAGAACTGTGAGAGAATAAATTTCTGTTGTGTAAGCCACCAAGCATGTGGCAATTCACTCCAGCAGTGCTAGGACCATAAAATAGTGCACAGGAAGCAAGCTTCACTCCCAGGCAGCATCCCTGAAAAGCGGCTTCACGGTCAGTGCTCTTGTGAAGTACATGGGGTCAGAGATGTGGAGGGAGGGGCCCAGGGCTGTGATTATTGTCTGGATGCTGAACAGAATCAAAGGCCCCTTTTATCTGCTAGGCAGCCTGCTCTCAGAGAAGGAGAAACGATTAATCTTAAAGCCTTTTTCTTTTTTTCAAGCCAGGAGGATAATTACTCAGAACTCTATTTTCCTTCATGGTTTTGAAAATGGATTTTGTGGTGATTTCTTTTTCTAGGCATTTGGCAGTGCAGGGGAAGGACTGGTGCATAAAGGAGCCCATTAACAACATGTGCCACTGGGGATGGAGAAGTGCTGAAACAGACAGGACAAATGGTCTCAATTAAATCACAAAAAGCTGGAGGTTACCTGGGTCTCCAAGATGCTGTGATGCTGGCAGTCTGATTCCCAGGGACTTTCTTCAGCTCTTTGCACAGGTCCCTTATGTTGTTGGATAAATTCCTCCAGCCTTAAAACCTAAAGAAGGCAAGAAACACTAGGCAACAAAGTGAAGTCCTGCCTTCCAGAGGTGGTCATTAATCTGGGAATCAATTCTTGATCTGTTTAGAGAGGGTCTCCTTTGATAAATTCTAAATATGCTTCTAAAAAACTACCATTAATTAGCTAGTTGCTTGTTCTTTCAAAAAAAAGATGAGAATAGCAGGTTTACAGTATTCCACACTTTCTTTTTCATTATTTATATATATGTATCTACACTAGATCTGTAGGGTGACTCTCACTGGCTTTATGTCAGGCAATTTCTTCTTTCCATTTTTTTAAAAAAAAAAGAATGAAAAGAACACACAAAAGTTATTACATGTCCAAGGTGTGAGAATATTAGTCTTCTCAATTTTTTTGAAAGAAGGTTAGTTGGTGAAGAAAATTAACAGCATTTAAGAGTTATACAGGTAAATAGAGAGTAGATTAGCCTGAAGGTGCTATTAAATTATAATGGTTTAATTAGGATGATTATTACTAACTAACTAATTGTAACTTGTCAATTAAACAGATTGGTTTTTTCCTTCCAGACTTTAAGGAGAACAAGGCCAGTAACTATAAAGGAAACTCAGACCTTGTTACCAAATCTATGTAGAAAATCTAACACATCTCAGGGACCATGTTGGGTGCAAGAGAGAAGGGGAAGGGGCAGAGTGAGAGCAAGATAGTAAGAATAAAACATGGTCCCTTTCTTTAAACTTGTCATTTTGTGGGGGGAGACATATATAGTTTTGTAATCATAGCAACACTCAGTAGAGAAAGATACAAAATAATATAGCACCATTAATGGTGCATACTCTGTGCCAGCCACAGATCTAAGCACTTTATGGTATTGTTTTAATCCTCACAACTACCACTATGAGGCAAGTATGACTGCACAGAATTCGCAGCAATAAACTCTGTCTTGGGGAGTCTAGGCAGCTTTAGGGCATCGAAGAATGAATAGATAAAGATAGGAAGGGGTATACTAGGCAGCGAGACAAGCAGGTACAATGGTAGACAGCATTGGATGGGCATGAAGACTGAAGAAAGGTTCTGTGGGGTTTTAGCATCAATGAGTGGATGGAAGGGGTGGAGTCTTGAAGGAGTGGACATAGGGAGCACAGTCTTGGGGAGAAGGAAGAAAAGAGGGGAGAAGGAGGAAAGAAATGGGCTTCTTTACTGTGCAGTTCCACCTTAGTATGCATTAGGACAGTAACTTCCCTGCAGAGACTCTTCAAGATCCATAGTTTCAGCTCTTGATTAGTAGCATATGAACACTGAAATTCAATTTTTGGCAGGAAGCTGTTGGCTTATGCCTGTAATCCTAGCTACTTCAGGAGGCAGAGATCACGAGGATTGTGGCTTGAAGCCAGCCCAGGCAAATAGTTCAGGAGACTCTATCTTGAAAAAACTCACCACAAAAAAGGGCTGGTGGAGTGACTCAAGGTGTAGACCCTGAGTTCAAGCCCTAGTAAGGCAAACAAACAAACAAACAAAAACCCAATCTCTAGATCCTAATATACCAAGTTTCAGGCATGGCATGCTCACCACTCTTTTATTTATTTAATGATCATTTCTGAAATAGATATGTTTAGAGAAAAACACAGTCAACACCTGTATGCGTGTTGCTCAGTTGAAGAAATAACATATCACAAATACAGAGGCAGCCCCTTGTACTTCTCCCTGACCCATCATCCTCTCCCTTCTAGAAATAACCACTGGTCCAAATTTTATTGTATCATCCTCATGGATTCTTTAGATTTACCTCCATGGATACATATCTCTAAACAATTGCTACCATTCTGTACATGGCCTCTGTATTCTGTGTAGCTCAGTGGTACAGTACCTGTCTAGCATGCATTCAGTTTCCAGCACCACAAGAAAAAAAAAATCCCCAGAGGAGGTTGCAGTACACAGAGACTCCAGTCTCCCTGGACGGCTTGAGTAAGGAAGGAAACCTCTTTATACTTTTAGGTCTAAACAGCCCCAGAAATGGCTTAGGCACCTTGTTTCCAGCCTCTTCCACTAGTTCAGTACTTTTAAAGGCCTGTGAAAATGTTTTAATTTCCTTTAAAATCAGAAGGGAAACAGAACTTGGATAATATTTATCTTTCTTTTGATAGAGTCATGAAACATAAATTTTCAATATAATGGAAGGGGCTCAGAAAGCCAAAGGTATGTTAGGCCAATACAGGTTATAATGCAGCCATGGAACAGGAGGTTGGAGATTTACCACCCTGATATCATTTAGCCACAGAATCAACTCCAGCGGCCTCCTGCCACCTTCTTTTATGTGAGACATTAAAGGCCTCTTTGTTTAAGACTCCATAAATTGGGCTCTCTGTTTCTTGCAGATAAATTTATGTCCCCTGAGACAGCCTTCCTGTTTGGCTGAATGTCCTTTCCTTTGTTCAGAAGATGTAAGGAGGGGGCTATAGTCTGAGACTGCAGCCATCTCAGCCAGAAACTCCCAGGGGAAACCACCACCATTCCCAAGCATGGCATTTTTGGGGGATTTACCTCGAGCAGAGAATTCTGAAGCTTCACATTGAGGGCTGCTTTCTCTTCTTCCAGCTGCCTTATTTCCCTTTCTGATTTTGTCTTCACTTCATCCAATTTTGCTTCTACTTCCTAAATGATGATTAGAAGGGTTAGCCACAAAAGGCATGAAAACAGGATACTTATGTATTCATAACCTGCTTTATTCCCAAAGGGGATCAAAGAATCTTATAGTAATAAAATACTGTAAGAACACGTGTGAGAAATATGCAAAAAGATCAGAAGAAGACAAGTGTTCAATCCACAGCCTGAGGTCTCATATGAGCTACAATGGGTAGACTCTTGACTATAAGTCTGCTAGCATCAAGCAACAAAAGAAAAATGCTCATTGCTAACAAAATTCTCAGTGAACCATAAAGCCAACTACACTCCTAGATGCACAGAAATATTAAGAGCAGAACAAAACTTCTCTATCCTAACAGGATCCATACCACAGAACGATGGGACTCAGAGGCATCCACCTCACGGTCCCTTCCTGCTAGCCTCAGTATACAGCAGATCCAGGTGGAGGAACATTCTGGATAATCACAGCAACCTCTTAGCTATGTCATTACATTTCCCAACCTTGCTGTGACATACTGTGCTACTGTTATGCTTAGCACTGTTCCAGTACACAGTGAAAGCTCAACAAATGATAAGTCTCTTATTATTCTTATAGATACCTACCCTTTCTGATTTGCCTTAATTTCTGGAAAAATTGTTTAAGTAGCTAGAGGAGAGGATGCAGCAGTCTATTCTTCTTAGTTGAACTATAGGTAAATACTGTATCATTTATTCACTTTATAAATATTATTGAGTTCTATTATGCACCTGGTACTGTTCGGGAAGTAACAGTAAGTGATAGTATACGTCTTCATCTTATAAGTAAGATGAAGGTTCTGGAGGGTTTGGGAAGAGAGACATGATTGAATTATATTTTAATGGGAACTCTACTGGTTTCTACCTTGGGGACACTTCAAGGAAGGGAATGGGGTGGGAGAAGCAACAGTGGCAGCAAGGTGGGAAAACACATAGTGAATAGCAGATACAAGGCAGTGTAGTTTTGTGGCACAAGTGCTACTGTAGTGACAGCTGCCAGGTATCAGACACCAGTATATGAGGCTGGGCATGGAAGACTGGGATCAATAAGATCAATAACAGGTAGGTGGGTGAATTTGGGAGTGGGGAGGAAAATCTCACCTGAAGGAAAGCTATGCATAAAAGCAGCCAAGATATGCATAAAAGGGGAAGACCGTGGAATGAATAAGGAAGGAAAAGGCTGTGAGCAGAGTTGGACAGGGCAGAGGTGTGGAATGAATAGGCCAGGAGAGGCAAAGAGGAGTCTGTCTCTGGAGGGTCTTATGAACCATGCAATGGAGTTGGAACCACACTGCAGCGATGACAGGGAGCTGTGGAAAGCTGAAAAGCAAGGCTGAGTTGTCTGAAGATCCTGCTGGACTGGAGACTGAATGATGTGAAGTGGGGAATGCTGAAATATTGAGAAACACTGAAACAATGCAAACATGGCTACCTCCAAAATAAGAGCCAGAGAAAAACCAACTCGTATGGCTGGCTGCTCAGCCCCAGTGACCTTCCTGATAATGACCAGCATCTTCCCTCGTCCCCCTTGCAGGTATTTTTTCTAATGCCCATCCCTCTCCAACCTCCCTTTTCCCACTGCAGGATGCTTAAAAACCCCACTCTCAGAGCATCACTCTGAAGACCGAGGGTCCTTCTTAGGTCTCTTCTCCTTCTCCCCAATAAAGACCTGCTGTGTAGAGGTCACAGATTCTTTCTCGGTCTCTCTCTCTCTCTCTCTCTCTTCATTTTCCTTTCATTTGATGCTGAAACCCAGAAGAGAAGGGGGAACGCCCTTCTCCGGTTACTGCTATTCCATGGTAATCCTCATATGGTCAGTGGTGTACCCCCATGGGGTCTCCAATCTAGGGCTTGTATGGATGGACTAAGGCCAAAAGGTACCTAAGCTCCCTAGAAGGACACGGCCAGTGCCCAACTCCATCCCCCAAACTGCCTGACCTCTCTCTGAAACTCTCTTTCTCTCCCTTCTTTCCCTCCTCACTATCTTCTACATGAGTCTATCACTATTATACTTTCTACTAAGGCTCCCTCTCCATCATCCTGACCGTTCTTCTGGGCATAGAGGTAGGGGCAACTGCCCCTTCTAATTGGACTTGAACCCAAAAGTTATTGTTGGCTTTTTCTACCTAATAGCCACACTACTCAGGGGCCTGACCTTTTGGTCATACATAAGCCCTTAACTTTCCATTCCTCTGTGACCACCTGCAGGGCCCTTCACTGATTCCACTCTGCACGCTCAACGGTGGCTCTGATTTCTACAGGGACAGGTTGGACCTGGATGTGGCCTCTCCATCTGGCACTCCGTGGTGCCTCGGTGTGTCACACTCCTGCCATTCTCGCCTTCAGTGTTCCTATCTCTCCCCTTCCCTCTCACCTTCCTGCCATTTGGCACCCCGCCCCGGTGAGTTTCCCCTGGCTAGGTAAGTTAGACATGTCTACCTGCTGCCCCAGGTTCATTTTTCCAGTTTTGTAAGCTTTCTCGGGGGACGCCCTAGAGAAAGCTTCCAAACCCCGGCCATGGACAATACCCACGCTACAATTCCCTCTGACTCACCCCTGGGGTGTCTCCCACATAACCTCACAAAATTAGGCCTCAAGGGTGATTTAAAACAAACAAACCTCATCCATTTTCCCACTCAAATTTGGTCACAATATAGATTAGATAGCTCTTCAAAATGGCTTGAATTTGGCACTTTTGATCCAAATAGTCTCCGAGATCTTGATAATTTTATTGTGAGAAACAGCAAATGGCAAGAGGCCCCTTATCTTCAGGCTTTCTTTTATCTCAAGTCCCCACCTTCCCTTTGTTAAAGTGCAGTCCCCTCCCCCAGTCCTTTTTGATTCTCACCCCTCCCCCTCAGCTCCTGCTCCTAATCCCCTCCTACCAACTTTTGATACAGATCCCGCTGACAAACCTTCTCCACATAGGTTCCCTCCTACCCCAACCCAACTTGTCCAAGCCCCCTCTCCTCTCCGGAAGACTCTTCCCCACTCTTTCTCTAGAAAACCCTTCCTTAATTGTGGTCCCTTCCCTTCCTTTGTCCTCTCCTCACACCCAATCCCAAACACTCCTACAACTACCTACACATTCCCCTCCAGCCCCCACTCTCTCCCACGAGAGGTGGCAGGAGTGGAAGGAACGGTCAGAATTCATGTCCTTTTTCTATGTCAGGTATCTTCCAAACTGAACGACTGGGCTTCTTTTCAAACAATTCAATAAGATACCATAAGGAATTCCTCTGTCTTACTCAGGCTCACACTCTCACATGGTGTGACATTTATAACATTATTAATGACACCCTCACAGAGGATAAAAAGGAGAGAATATGGAAGACAACAGAACAATGCGCTGACCAACTTCACAAACAGTATCCCAATAGGCATCCCCCCCACCCCACCACTGAGGCAGTACCTAAGACTGAGCCTCAATGGAGCTATCAAGATGGGGACCCAGGATCAAATTCCGAGATCATATGATTTCCTGCTACTGGCAGGTGTGGACAAAAATAGCCATAAACAAGTCAAAGAAATCACACAAAATCCAGATGAAAACCCCTCCCTCTTTCTTAATCACCTCATGGAGGCAATGATAAACCCTGCCTCCCAAGAGGCCGTATTTTCTTATATCTCCACTTAGTCAGTCAGCTCCAGACATCCAAAAGAAGCTCCAAAAACTTGAAGAGGGTCCTCAGACTCCTGAGCAAGTGTTAAAACACAGCATTTAAGGTTTTTAACAACACAACAAGGAAGCCAAACAATTAAGGGACAAAAATACTCCCACAAAATACCAAATGCTGGTTTCCATCCTCTAAAACCAAAACCAGACACCCCATACCATCCCAAAAAATCCACCCAAGGGACCTGGCAAACAGCGCTCTGAGGCCTGCTTCCAATGTGCAAACAAGGGACACTGGGCAAATTCTTGCCCTAATCCAACAAGACCTTGCCCATAATATAGACAATGGGGACACTGGAGGATGGACTGTCTGCAGGGAAAACAGCTTTTTCCTCATGTACAGCCTCAAATTCCTAATGGCCCCCTAACTGAGGATCCAATACCAATGTTTCCACTAGGAGACTGGCAAGACCCGGATCATAAAGCCTCTGCCACTGGTGAGTCCCCTGATCCATGGTTAACTCTATTTCTTTCTTCCTTGATACTGGGGTATCCAGATCTGTTTTAAACAAATATGCAGGTCCCCCTAAAAAGGCCTCTTTCCCTATTGTTGGAGTAGATGGCACACCAAACACATCCAGCATAACACTCCCTCTCTGTTGTATTTTTGGATCTAAGTCCTTTACACACCCTGTCCTGGTTATTCCAGCTTGTCCCTTTCCAATGTTAAAACCAGGTATACTCCATATACTCAAAACCATCATTTTTATCCTGTCCATTAATTCTGGCCAGCCCATACAACTTATTCTCCCTACACAGGACCTTCCACAGCCCAAAACCTCTCCCCACCTCTTACAGAAAGTCAATCCCCAAATTCAAAACACATCCCACCACTCCATAGTCACATCATATTCCTGTTAAGATTACTCTTTTTTTTTTCATTTTTCTTTTATTATTCATATGTGCATACAAGGCTTGGTTCATTTCTCCCCCCTGCCCCCACCCCCTCCCTTACCACCCACTCCACAACCTCCCGTTCCCCCCCCTCAATACCCAGCAGAAACTATTTTGCCCTTATTTCTAATTTTGTTGTAGAGAGAGTATAAGCAATAATAGGAAGGAACAAGGGGTTTTGCTGGTTGAGATAAGGATAGCTATACAGGGCATTGACTCACATTGATTTCCTGTGTGTGGGTGTTACCTTCTAGGTTAATTCTTTTTGATCTAACCTTTTCTCTAGTTCCTGGTACCCTTTTCCTATTGGCCTCAGTTGCTTTTAAGGTATCTGCTTTAGTTTCTCTGTGTTAAGGGCAACAAATGCTAGCTAGTTTTTTAGGTGTCTTACCTATCCTCACCCCTCCCTTGTGTGCTCTCGCTT